ACAAAGAGACACAAAACAACTGCAAAGAGACACTAAATGACAACGAAACAACTGCAAAAAGGGAAAAACAACTACAGACAAAATCTAGCAACAAAAAGACCAAAACAACCACAAAGAGAGACAAAAGAACAACAAAGAGACAAAAACAACTACAAAGACAGACAAAAGAACTACTAAAATACAAAACAACTACAAAGAGACACAAAACTACTGCAAAGACAAATAAAACAACTACAAAGAGAGACAAAAGAACTACAAAGGTATACAAAACAACTATTAATGGACACGAAACGACTACAAAGACACAAAATGACCACAAAACAACTGCAAAAAGGGGAAAAACAACTATAAAGTCTCTGAGTGTCCCTCCTTTATGTAGGAGAGGTGTTTGGTCCTTTCTCTTGGGCTTTATTGTCTTATTATCCGTCCGTGGCAACAAGTCACGTAGAAAATATAAAACGTTAAAGCAACGGACACAAACAAACTCTTCTTACTCCGCCTTTGTCCCTTTAACCTCATTTTGTTTACAGACAGATATTCCTGCACAACGAGCTCTGTGTTTCCCGTCAGTTGTACCAGCAGCTGATGGACTTTATGTGTATATTAAGTGGGTGGGCTCATTTAATATGCAGTCGATTGCCACTCAGGAAGCCCGTTAAAGGCCCATTACTCCGACTGAACGTCAACAACCTTCTCGAATGGACTAAAATAATACTTGAGATGAGAAGACAAACTTCTAGAGGTGAGACTCTGACGTCCTGTAGCTCTCTGCAGAGGACTGCCGGTCACTGGTTCACTCATTAACACAGAAAACATCACTTATAAGTCAGTTGAGCAACAGCTGCTCAGTGATTTCTTTTAAAGATTAATTTCTAATGCTGCAAGCAGGTTGAACTGATCCGCTTTACATCATGTGGACTTGATATTTATGGTTGATTTAATTAATGCAGTAAATTCTGTTTTTTTACTGGACGTAGTTTCATGACTTTGTTGGTGAAATTCTGTAATTTGAGTGAGTTAATAAATAATAAAAAACACAATAAAAAGCCTGACTGATGCATAAACAAACATGTATTAGGATGACCTACTAGTGGTTATTAAAACCTCTGAATTTGAAGAAACATTTTCTATTTTCCCTGTAAATTATACCCAGAAAACCACCAAGAAATCTATTAAGAAATTAGCTGAGAAATAAAACATTCCAAAAATCATCTACCTATTTTTTAACATGTCCAAACTTTCCAGATCTCACACCAGAATTACACTCAGTAAGTTGACTTTCATCTCGCATTAAAATATAAAAAGTACAAAACTTCTCTCTGAAATGTGGTGGAGTTGAAGTAGAAAGTGTAATTTAATCAAGTGAAGTACAAGTACCTTAAATGTATACTTGAGTAAATGTATATAGTTACATTCCACCGGTGATATGGAGACTGTTACTGGAGAAAACCTAGTAGTTCATCCCATGAATTAATGTATTCAGGACTGAAGTGGGTCAGATGAGTCTCTCTCTCTCTCTCTCTCACTCTCTCTCTCTCTCTCTCTCTCTCTCACTGCAGACACCTGCAGGTCTCTCGTCCTTTCGTCTCTTTGTCTCGTTCTCGTCAAGATGAAGTAACAGAAACCTGCCACACAGATCAGGACTGCTTTGTCTGATGAGGTTTAATGTTGCAGCAGAAACACTGTGTGCGTGTGTTTGTTAGTCTCGGGCCGGTAGACGGAGTTTAAGCATGAATAATGTCTCCCTGCTTTGTTGGCTTCCATCTGTTCTCGTTTTGCAAAATGAAACACTGCTGACTTTAAATATGACAGCACCAGAAGAAACTCAGCACCATCTAGTGGACTAGAACAGCAGCTGTTACCAACAGGTGTATTTGTATTTGTAATATCAGTAGTTTATACATTAAAAGATTGATACCTGGCGTCCATGTTTTGATAAAGTATTGCTTCATAAAATATTGCGATACAATACTTCCCCCCCCACCGCCAAACAACCCGTTTGTACTCGGTAAAGTTTTGACCCAGTTATTTTTAATTGTGTGCTCATGATACAAGCAGAGGAAGAGACAAAGAGGTTTCACATCGTAGTGTAGTTTGTTACGGAGGCTCATTTTGAACCATTGTGCAAAATACTGTGCGTGTGTGTGTGTGTGTGTCAGTGTGTGTGTGTGTCATCAGCTGCCACAGATGAGTGTATCTTGTCTCTTGTAGCACCAAACTGTCACAGCGACTGAACAAACAAGGGACGGCAGTAGAGTGGGTGGTCAGATTTTGTGTGTGTGTGTGTGTGTGTGTGTGTGTGTGTGTGTG